AATAAATAAAAAAGTTTACTATTGGCCATTTGTTTAAATGTTTATAATTTTTTAACCGTTTAACTACAAACGAAACGAAAAACACTACAAACAACTACAAACGATTCTAAAGAAGACTGCGCAAGCGGATTCGCGATATCTCAATAAATAAAAAAGTTTACTCTTGGCCATTTGTTTAAATGTTTATAATTTTTTAACCGTTCAACTACAAACGAAATTAATTTTTTAAAAGTCGGGTGCCAGGTTCACATAGCTGATTTCGCAGTAGCGGAGGGCCCACGACGAGGACGTGAGAAAGACTTTCCGCGGACATGTGTGGATAAAATTGCATGTAGGAAGACATGTGGGGTGTGCGTGCTTGCGCAGTAATTAACGACTCCAAACCACCTCTGCTGCGTGCGTGCGTGCGTGCGTGCGTGCGTGCGCGTGCGTGCGGGCGTGCGTGCGGGCGTGCGGGCGGGCGGCGGGCGGGCGGGCGGGCGGGCGTGCGGGCGTGCGGGCGTGCGTGCGGGCGTGCGTGCGTGCGGGCGTGCGTGCGTGCGTGTGTGTGTGTGTGTGTGTGTGCAAGACCGAGGATGTAATTAACTAAGGCAAGTATAGGAAGGTTTATATCAATTGTTCAAAATGTGCACCGTCAACTGTTTGACAACAGGCTATCCGATGATAAAAAGATGAAACGGCACACCCCACATGCCTTCCTACATGCAATTTTATCCATATGTGTCCGCGGAAAGTCTTTTTCACGTCCTCGTCGTGGGCTCTCCGCTACTGCGAAATCTCAATGTTTAAATGATCATAACTGCGAAAAAAAATCGTAGAGACCATCGCGTTGTTCTCATCTCGAAAAGCTCTTTCAAATGAACCCTAACTCGACCCCACATTCCATTTAAAATTTTCTCGCCCTCCCTCCCCCCCGCCCCCCGGGGGTGTCAAAATGGGCGTTTTTGGTGTTATGTGATAGATTGTGTGATATTACGTTGTAACCTTGTAAATTTCAATCCGATATCTCAAACCGTTCAGAAGTTATTTAGGTGTCCCGGTACTTTTTCCTCATCCTATATATATCTATGAATTTTAATAATAATTTTTTAATATACTTTTCTTTTTATTTTCTTCTTATCCTCCTTGCCTTTTCTTCTTCACTTTTATTCATTCATCCACTATTATTCACTTATCACATTTATCACATTTATCACATACATTATATGATACGTATAGGTTAATTAAAAACACAAAACTACCGTCTTTTTAAATATACTGCCCTCATGCAAAACTTTTCATAATCTATCGATTGATAATCCAAATGGTAAATCCATAATCGACTTTTATTGAAATTATAAACTACATTACCGACCTTTAATGATTACTTATAGTTACAATCGATAAACTTGCTTATAATATTATTTATAGATAAAGAAGAATAAATTAATGTATCAGCGCTACTGCATTTATTCTAGATGACGCTAATAACTGACTTTTATGTACATTGTCCATTGTCCGTGCCTTTTGTTCGTGCACATTTGCGTCGAATCAATTGCGATGAAGCAATATACGAATTTATCAAAAGCGAGCGATAGTAATCGTGCATCAACATCAAAAAATAAAAAAGATAATTCTGAAAAAGAATGGAATGTAAGTATATATTTATTATTACCTTTAATAAGAATAACTTTGATTAACATAATACTTGGCGGGAGACACATTACTGCGTCTCTTAATAATTCCACTTTTCATTCATTGTTCTACTATTCAGAGATCGTATAAAAACATAAATTATAATTAAACATTTGTGTTTTTGAAAGAATTATATATATATATATATATATATATATAACTTGATACTATTTGTTCTAAAATAATTATTCGTAACTATACTTTCCTGTTAGACTGCTATCTTCTCTACTATAAATCCATTATTCATTGTCCGTGCCTTTTGTTCGTGCACATTTGCGTCGAATAAATTGCGATGAAGCAATCTAGAAATTCATCAAAAGCAAGCAATAGTAATCGTACATCAACATCAAAAAAGAATAATTCTGAAAAAGAATGCAATGTAAGTATATATTTATTATTACTTTTAATAATATCCACTTTTCATTAATTGTTTTACTATTCAGATATCGTGTAAAACCATAAATTATAATTAAACATTTGTGTTTTTGATAGAATTATATATATATATATATATATATATATATATATATATATGGTGTGACGTTGCCGTCCTTTAAAGCGTCCATCCGCCCCGAGATTTTACGGGGCGCGGGCCGAGCGGCCGCGCCAGAATCAACCTCGAGAGAGCGTTATCAAAAATCCCTGGAGAGACGAGCGCTATCGTTAGTTTGTAAAGCTTTTTTATTAATTGTATCGAATTTTTGTTTGTTTGTCATAAACGACAACGGGCACCTCGCCGGAGAAGATCCGGAGGACCGGAAGAACATCCAGGAAGATTGCGTCAAGATGCTCGTCGACAGCGAACGGAGGATAAAATAGCGCTTGGAAAATACTTAGCCAAGGACGATACCGGGGAAATTCGCCCGCGTCCCAGGAAGGAGGACGGAAGTCCGATCAACGCTACCCTCCGAGGAGGACAAACGACAGCGGAGCCTCCAACGGGCCCCTTGTACCGGGGCCCGCGACAGCAATTAATAATTCGAATCAATTGCGCGCGAAGCGCTAAAAGCGCCGCGGATCTCGCGAGGCGCTAGAACCTCTTGCGTGCCGTATCCTGATTAGTCGCGGGGCTGCGCACCCCACTAAGCGGTCATTGACGCCGCTATCGACCCGGAATCGCGAGATCCTGGGATCATTCTGGTGCGGGAGCTCGAGCTCAATAGTCGCTCTAATTAATTGTCGTTTGCGTGTGTGGGATCTTTGTCGCCGCTATAGAGAGACCGAGCAGAGGACGAGGCCGAGGACCATCCCCAGCAGGAAGAGGTGCTATCGGTGAGGTTGCCCATCTTTCCTTTGTGAGCCACGTACGCGATTTAGTCCGCGGACCGGCCGTTCTGCCGCCGTCGCCATTTTTCGTGTTTCGCGACCGCTCAGGCTCAGTGCCGAGACGGTGATATTTTGCGTATTTTCGGGCGACCGGAGGCAAGCGACCGAGGAAGGACCAACGTCGGCATTAGATTGATAAGGCAACGTTCGTCTCTCTCTCCGCGTTTCGAGGTATTCATTACGCGTAGCCATCGACCGCCGAATATCGACCGCGTGCGCGAAGGATCGCGAAAAGCGTACGCCGCCCGTGTCGTCGTGTCGTGTCGTTGCCGCGTGAATATTCCCATAGAATATTCCCGTAGATTATCTCAGGGTGATTCTTGTGTCGGATTTCGTGTATGTTGTCATCGATTGTTAAGAGTGCGTATGAGCGTTTATGGTATTTTATTATAGTGTGAGCGTGAAAGTATTTGCGTCTTCGTCGCGCTTATTACGACGCCGAATAGAGCGTAATAAAGGCTAAGAGAATATCTGCGTCTTCGTCGCGCTTATTGCGCCGTCGGATAGAGCGTAATAAAGGATAATTTGTATCGGTCGAATTTGTTGTGGTGCGAAATAATTGCCAACGTATGGAGGGTAAAATCTGAGCTGCTTGCGCGGATAAAGGAGGCACAATGCCGGCAGAGAAAAACCTCCGGCCGCCGTCGGCTATCTAAAATCGAAAATATCGTTCGCCTGTCGCATACGAGATCCGTCTTCGCAAAAGTATTAATTATTTTCGATCTCTGGTTCATTAGACTGTCGAGCTATTCAGTTGTCGTTTTGTTTCGCGAACTAGGAAATTGCGGGGGAAAGTCCGTAGCGATAAATTGTCGGTCTGACTGCCGAAATTACGATATCGTTTGAGTATTATCCGCGAGTATTTTCGTGCCGAAAATCCTTTGTATTCCGTAAAGTCTCGCTCAGTTCAGCGAATTCCGGCCATAAAAACGGGCTCGGGTAAGCAACCGGATTGTCTTAGCACTCTCGTTTTCGATCGCGAGCAGATATTTGCTAAGAATACCGTCGCATTTTTCGCGCCAGGATTAATTATATTGTCTTTTTCGCTTTCGTATTTCGTTCGAATTTATTGTAGACCGTCGTTTCTTGATTTGTATGATTCGTTCTCGTTTCCAGAGGAATTAATAGCGAACCAATGTCTCGGTAAGGAATTAGTAATCTCGGAATTATCGCTTCTTATTGCTTGCTGATTTAATGTTCAAAATTGATCCATTTCTTATTATTAATCTACTATTGATCACTCGTATTGTTACTTTATTTTTCTAGTAATAAACTTGTTTTCTTTCTTTGTTCAATTCGCGTAATTTATTTAAGTGTTCGTCTCGCTTAATTGTCGATTGTCGTTTTGTCTGTCGTCTGTTAGTTCCGTGAAGCCTCGCATAATCAATTAACTTTCTCTAACAATCCCTCCCCTCTACCGTTAGGCGAGCTAGTCGGCCCGTGGCGAAGCAGGATATCGTTTTTAGCGTCTTTCGACTTTTCACGAAAACTGATGCGTGAAAGACCGTATCGATATATCGAAAAGTTGGGCGCATCTGGCGCGTCTCCGCTCCTCCGCGGCTCGCGCGAGAACGTCCTCCATCCCTGTTCTTCAGAGCGCGAGTATATTAATTTCGTTATTTTTTTGACGGCGTTTTCGCTCCCCCGCGCACGCTCCCATCCAACATCTCGGGGAGGGTCGCGATTCATTTTGAATCTAATTGAAAAAGACGTTGCAATGTATATATATATATATATATATATATATATATATATAGAAATTTGAAATAATCAGAACTCACACACAAATCGGGATTATGACAGTTCTCGAACACCAAGATTTCAGAGCACGTATAAAAAAATACGTTTACTTGATAGTACAAGGCGACAAGATTATCTGATGAAAATAAATGCCGCGAAATAAATGAACGGCGTAAAACAAATTAAACGGCATGAAACAAATAAACAAATGCCGAGTGTGTCTCATTGTCTGTTCATCCAAGCACGGCGACAGATCGAACATGTCTCGTAAGTAAATCATTATTTATACAAAGATATTAAGAAATAATTTAATCTTTAATTTCTATTTTAATTTTTTTCTTCATAATTTTATAGAAGATATTAATGAAGAGATGGACGCTTTGGTGCTGCAAGATGCTGCGCAGCCAACGATGCAGCAGCTGATGCAACAAATGTTGCATCAGCAACATTTGTTGCATCAGCTGCAAATATTTATGCAGCAGCAGCAGCAGCACCAGCAGCGGCACCAGCAGCGGCAGCACCAGCAGCGGCAGCGGCAGCACCAGCAGCGGCAGCGGCAGCACCAGCAGCGGCAGCGGCAGCACCAGCAGCGGCAGCGGCAGCACCAGCAGCGGCAGCGGCAGCACCAGCAGCGGCAGCGGCAGCACCAGCAGCGGCAGCGGCAGCACCAGCAGCGGCAGCGGCAGCACCAGCAGCGGCAGCACCAGCACCAGCACCAACACCAGCACCAGCAGCCGCCGCCGCCGTCGCCGCCGCCGCAGTCGTCGCAACCGCAGCCGCAGGGAGAGGAGCAACAGCAGGAAAAAAATGGTACATTATTTTTTATATTAAATTATATTTAATGAAATTATATATATACAGGGTGTCCCACATAGAAGTGGCCATCCCCTTTTATCTTTTAAACTAAAAGAGATAGACCATAACAAATATATATGAAATTAAATGGCTTTAACTGAACTTTATTATGAGTATAGTGGTTGATTACAAAATTTATTTGTATTAAAGAACGGAGAGATATGTATAATTTTTTTATAATAATGTAGATATTTTGATATAATAAAAGTTGTAGCGCTGTTTGAAACGAATATAACGATGTATAATTTAATGTAAATATTTTACATATTATACGAGATTTTCCGGCTTGAATTATCGCGGGCGACGTCCACCATTTCATTTTCGGCCTTGCGATATAGCCAACTTCTGACTGAGTATCATAATTAAATGACAACATGATATATGTCAACCTCTAATGCAGGAGTCAGAAGTTAGCTATATCACAGGACCGAAAATGAAATGGTGGACTTCGCCCGCGATATTTCAAGCCGGAAAATCTCGTATAATATGTAAAATATTTACATTAAATTATACATCGTTATATTCGTTTCAAAGCGCTACAACTTTTATTATATCAAAATATCTACATTATTATAAAAAAATTGTACATATTTCTCCGTTCTTTAATAAAAATAAAGTTTGTAATCAACCACTATACTCACAATAAAGTTCAGTTAAAGCCATTTAATTTCATATATATTTATTATGGTCTATTTCTTTTAGTTTAAAAGATGGCCACTTTTAGGTGGGACACCCTGTATATATATATATATATATGTATATATAATATATATATATATATATATATATATACATATATAATAATTTGTTTTATTCTTCAGAAAATAAAGAAAATAAAAGAGGAGGCGGGAAGGCCCGTGCCCGCTGGTATGCTCAGCGCGGCAGGGCTGGCGATCGAGGAGGCGACCGAGGGCGAAGAGGCGGCTGGGCCCGAGGAGGCGGCTGGGCCCGAGGAGGCGGCTGGGCTCGAGGAGGCGGTTGGGCCCGAAGAGGCGATGGAGGCCGACGAGGCGGCTGGGGCCGAGAAACAGTGATTAAAAATTATTACTATTATTAATATTATAAATAAAATTAAAAATAAAAAAATAATTTATAATTCATTGAATATTTATTTATCATAGAATACTTATTCCTTTTATCCTTTATTCGTAGATATTTTTTTCTCATATATCAATACAATGTGGTATAATAGGGCTCTAGGCGAAGATCCACATAAAAAAATCTAACGCGCCATTGGTGATACCCCGTGGGTGGTGTGGAAAATCGCCACTCATTAAATTTTTTTATTTTATTATTTTAAATGTATATATATATATATATATATATATATATATATATACAGGGTGAGTCATTTTAATCAATACACTCGAATATCTCGAAAACAGCACTCTTCAGAAAAAAATGTTTCAACAAAAATTGTAGGGTGTGAAGGGGGACATAAGATGGTAGCATTGGTTTGACCTTGGAAAGTCATTTGAAGGTCACATAAAAGTCACCTTCAATTTCTTAAATTGAATCCACTATTTTTCATTACATATTCTTGTAGCTTATCTCGAGAGCTTTCTAAAACACTACAGACAAATGTTTTTTCATTAAGTACTTTTTGAGTTATAAGGCTTCAAAGTTTGCAGTACTTCGATATAAAATGCAAAATATCTCGTAAAATATTTAGTTTTCGGTAGTCTTACCCTAATACTTTTATGCACAGGATAATGAGACAAAACTATTGGTACAAAGAAAACGCATGATTGTTTATAACAAAAAGTGCATTGCAAATTACACATTTTTTATTATAAACAATCATACGTTTTCTTTGCACCAATAGTTTTGTCTCATTATCCTGTGCATAAAAGTATTAGGGTAAGACTACCGAAAACTAAATATTTTACGAGATATTTTGCATTTTATATCGAAGTACTGCAAACTTTGAAGCCTTATAACTCAAAAAGTATTTAATGAAAAAACATTTGTCTGTAGTGTTTTGGAAAGCTCTCGAGATAAGCTACAAGAATATGTAATGAAAAATAGTGGGTTCAATTTAAGAAATTGAAGGTGACTTTTATGTGACCTTCAAATGACTTTCCAAGGTCAAACCAATGCTACCATCTTATGTCCCCCTTCACACCCTACAATTTTTGTTTGAAACATTTCTTTCTGAAGAGTGCTGTTTTCGAGATATTCGAGTGTATTGATTAAAATGACTCACCCTGTATATATATATATATAGAGAGAGAGAGAGAGAGAGAGAGAGAAAACAAGTGTTAAATTATTATAAAAAACTAAATAGTTTTATAATATATTTTTGTAATATAATTAGTACATATTTATATTTGTACATATATTTGTATAATATATTTATAATGTATATACAGGATGGGCCATTTTAAGTGATCCACTCAAATATTTCGGAAAATAATGAAAAATCAAAAAAATATTTCAGATAAAAGTTGTATGGTTGAAGGGGGCCATCAGATAGTGGCAATGATTTGACCTTGGAGAGTCATTTGAAGATGACGTAAAGGTACCTTCAATTTCTTAAATGGAACTCCCTATTTTTTATTACATATTCGTGTAGCTTATCTCGAGAGCTTTCCAAAACACTATAATAAAGTATTTTTTCATTGAGTACTTTTCGAGTTATGAGGCTTGAAATCATTTCTTAATTTTGTATAAACCGTAAAATATCTAGTGAAATATTCATTTTTCGATTATCTTGCTTTAATACTTTTATACAAAGTTAATACTTTAATACTTTGTACAAAATAATGAGAGAAATCAATTGGTGTAAAAAAAACACATAGTTGTTTCAAAAAAAAAATATGTAATTGTTAATTGCAAATTACATATTTTTTCTTAAAAATAACTATGTGTTTTCTTTACACCAATTGATTCCTCTCATTATTTTGTACATAAAAGTATTAAAGCAAGATAATCGAAAAATGAATATTTTACTAGATATTTTACGGTTTATACAAAATTAAGAAATGATTTCAAGCCTCATAACTCGAAAAGTACTCAGTGAAGAAATACTTTATTATAGTGTTTTGGAAAGCTCTCGAGATAAGCTACACGAATATGTAATAAAAAATAGGGAGTTCCATTTAAGAAATTGAAGGTTACCTTTACGTCATCTTCAAATGACTCTCCAAGGTCAAATCATTGCAACTATCTGATGGCCCCCTTCAAGCCATACAACTTTTATCTGAAACATTTTTTTGATTTTTCATTATTTTCCGAAATATTTGAGTGGATCACTTAAAATAGCCCACCCTGTATATATATATATATATATATATATATAATACATATATATATATATATACAGGGTGAGTAAAAAGTCCCGGACCAGTAAAATATCTCGGAAACAAAGCATTTTCGAGACAAATGGTTTAGATAAAAGTTGTAGGGTTTGAAAAGATCTATTTACTGAACCTATCAAATTGACCTTGGATAACATCGTCAAGGTCAGGTCAAGATCAGGTCGATTTTTTAAATTGAATACCCTATATTTGATACCAGAATCTAATAGCTGGTGTTAAGAGCTTTTCAAAACACTACAATAAAGTTCATTTTGGTTAAGAACTTTTGGAGTTAGAGGACTTGGAAGGTTACAGTACCGCCGGCATACGCGCGCGCATAATGGCTCTTGCACACTGAACGCGATGGGCGACGAGCGATGAGCGATATCCAATGATAGGTTTACTTTTTGAAAAAACTAGAACTTTCATTGGATATCGCTCATCGCTCGTCGCTCATTGCGTCCAGTGTGCAAGAGCCATAACATGTAGAGATCAGGAGCCCGTGGTTCGTCACTCCCACAGTATTTAAAAGACTCCAAACCCTCTCTACAATGTTCTTCTGCAGGAGTTAATCATTATTATAATAGATGTTCGAATTGTTTCCCTTCTACCGCTTGACAATGTGCTAGCCTTAATTGAATAGAATATCTGACATTTCTTAACATATCAATGGTTATTAAATTCATTTCGTCAGTTATTCTTTGCTTCAATTCTTCCACGCTCGCAGGTTGTGTTTTATAAACACGCTCTTTTAAGTAGCCCCATAAAAAAAAATCAAGTGGTGTCAAATCGGGAGATCTTGGAGGCCACTCGATTGTTCCTCGTCTCCCAATCCATCTGTTCGGAAAAATTTCGTTTAATAAATTACGTACTCTTAATCCAAAATGCGCTGGAGCTCCATCTTGCTGAAACCATATGCGATCGAAGTCATTAGGAAAGAGATTTCGAATAGCAGGAATAATTTGATGAATTAACATTGCTTCATACATTTCAGAATTAAGATTTTCATCGAAGAAAAATGGACCTATTAAATGAGTTTCACTCATTCCTGCCCATACGTTAACCTTTTTAGGATATTGAGATTTATTATCTCTCACCCAATGTGGATTTTCGGAGCTCCAATATCGGAAATTTTGACTATTAACGTTTCCATGAAGTTCGAAATTAGCTTCATCTGAAAATACAATGTTAGTTATAAAATCATTTCCACGCATCTCAATAAGCTCACAAAATTCCATTCTTCGATCAAAATCTTCATGAACCAACTCTTGGACATAATGCATTTTATACGGATGAAATTTGTGCTTCTTTAAAATATTACGCACCGATTTTTGGCAGACTTCGTTTAATGCTGCAACCTTTCTAGTGGATGTATTAAGCGTTTCAATAAAGTTCAGCAAAATATCTGCACCCTTTTCGTCATTGGTGACAGATTTAGGCCGTCCACTGCGCGAACGATCTTTCACGCTACCTGTTTCATTGAAACGCTGAACCGTTCTTATAACTGTCGATCTTGAAATTGGATCTCGCGTATTGAAAGTAATATTGAAGAGATCACATGTATCTTGATATGACCTTTCTTTATCTCCGTACCCTTTCATTATCAAAACGTAAATACGTTCTTTTTCCGACAAAGCCGCCATTATTTAATTTTTCACAAAATTTTGCAAAAGCTAAGAAGAGAAGAAACCTTTAAGCGTAGAGCTTAGGTAGCTACCAGAAATGCCGACAAAACAGTATGTTAACAGCGTGTGCAACCCGACCAACAGCGTCTTGCCACACAGTGTATTGTTAGCAAAAGTTAAATAATAGCTAACCTCACCTCATTAACATACTGTTTTGTCGGCATTTCTGGTAGCTACCTAAGCTCTACGCTTAAAGGTTTCTTCTCTTCTTAGCTTTTGCAAAATTTTGTGAAAAATTAAATAATGGCGGCTTTGTCGGAAAAAGAACGTATTTACGTTTTGATAATGAAAGGGTACGGAGATAAAGAAAGGTCATATCAAGATACATGTGATCTCTTCAATATTACTTTCAATACGCGAGATCCAATTTCAAGATCGACAGTTATAAGAACGGTTCAGCGTTTCAATGAAACAGGTAGCGTGAAAGATCGTTCGCGCAGTGGACGGCCTGAATCTGTCACCAATGACGAAAAGAGTGCAGATATTTTGCTGAACTTTATTGAAACGCCTAATACATCCACTAGAAAGGTTGCAGCATTAAACGAAGTCTGCCAAAAATCGGTGCGTAATATTTTAAAGAAGCACAAATTTCATCCGTATAAAATGCATTATGTCCAAGAGTTGGTTCATGAAGATTTTGATCGAAGAATGGAATTTTGTGAGCTTATTGAGATGCGTGGAAATGATTTTATAACTAACATTGTATTTTCAGATGAAGCTAATTTCGAACTTCATGGAAACGTTAATAGTCAAAATTTCCGATATTGGAGCTCCGAAAATCCACATTGGGTGAGAGATAATAAATCTCAATATCCTAAAAAGGTTAACGTATGGGCAGGAATGAGTGAAACTCATTTAATAGGTCCATTTTTCTTCGATGAAAATCTTAATTCTGAAATGTATGAAGCAATGTTAATTCATCAAATTATTCCTGCTATTCGAAATCTCTTTCCTAATGACTTCGATCGCATATGGTTTCAGCAAGATGGAGCTCCAGCGCATTTTGGATTAAGAGTACGTAATTTATTAAACGAAACTTTTCCGAACAGA